TAATATAAATAATAAATTTAGATCTTGCCTATATTCTTAACATTCTATAAATCTGTGATTAGGGCTACTAATTAACACGAATCTAGCCTGGACTGCTCAAGCTCAGCTAATTTAAACTCTTATCCGTACTCATCCCGCTCAGATCGACGATGATACAAAAGGTAGTACCCGAAATTCAATCCTCTGTAGAAACAACAAATATTTATAGTGCTTATACACATTTTTCTATAGGTTTGACATATATACATATATTATTAAATTTATATATTTTTATATATCTAATATTTAAAATTTTATAATCATTTGAAAATTTTTTAAGTTATATAATTATAACTATGAAGATCAAACATGTATGATAGCTAATTATTTTCTTGAGAAAATATGACCAAAAAATATGTTCAATTAAAAATACTTTTATCAAATAGAACCGCGCATGTTTGTTTTATAATAGGAGTTTTGTGACCTTTTTTTCTTTTGAGATGATCTCCTTGTGTTCAAAGGTTAGTGAAATTTGTCACTGTGTTACTCGTGATTAAAAAAATAGCTTTCTCACAGTAAACCTTAATGTAGATATGGACTTTTTATGATATATGCTACCACATTCATTTTTTTAACCATGAAATAATCATGATAGAACTATCTCAACGAACTTAGTGATGCAGCAAGGTGGCTAACACAAATATTTATCTAAATGTTCTTAATGTTAAAAAGCCACCTTCGGTTTGTTTTTAAAGAACGATTCTACTCTTATAAATATAACACTACAGATGTGGGACTAAACATATTTTGACATGGGAAAATTTTTGAAAAAAGAAAGATTTATTTCAGGCATTTACACGTATACTACTCATTTCTCATATATTTAAAGCTTTTAAGGCTTGGCATTTGATTATGAAACTGGGAGCTCGCCTGAGTGCTCAACACTGAAGTTCCTTAAAACAGTCATCAAAGGAAGCTATGGCCAAGCTTTATTCGGTATGTGTACCGCATGAAGGTCTGCATGCGGTACCGAATTAAAAACGGCCACGTGGAATTCGATACCACGTGGATTTTTCAGTTTAAAAACTCTGTCATACTATGCCCTACCCGGCCCGAATCCCGGAAAAAAAAAGTATTTTTTTGTCATTTTCGATTCCCGCCAATTGAAAAAAAGTGGTATTTTGTCTCTTTTTTGGGATGTTCTTATTTCGTTGCCTCGTATTCGCTGGACCTGGTTCGATGGAAATAATTATTGACGAAAATGTTGTTGTAATCTCAAAATACTTGTGAGAAACATAACAATGAGCTGAAATCTCAGAATATTTTTGAGAATAATAAGAATGAGCAAAGTTTAGATGCGGCAGAAGGACATCGGCAGGTACGTTGAAGACTTGTTTGAATGCAGTTCTAGGTTTTAAGGAATAATTTTATTGTTAATGAAGTTTGCTCTGTTTTTATATGACGTGTAACGCTAAGTTTCGGTAAGGGTGAGATGTGGTGTTATTTAGGTAATATCACGGTGATACACTGGTTGTTTCTGCAGTTGTTTTCCATTTATGATTGTTCGTTATAGTATTAGTGGGGGTTTGGTGTTATTTTGGTAGTATCACAGTGTTATTTTGGTAGTATCACAATGTAACATTATTGTCGTGGGGATTTTATGTTATTTTGGTAGTATCACAGTATTATTTTGGTAGTATCACAGTGTAGCATTATTGTCGTGAGGATTTGGTGTTATTTTGGTAGTATCACAGTGTTATTAAGGTAATATTGGATCTGCTGACTTAATTTTCTTTTATGAGGCTAGTAACATTCTTGTTATTTGACGACATTTGTTTAACATGCTATATTGGCATTGCCATGGTGTTATTTGGGTTATATTATGGTATTATTATTGTGTTATTTATGTATTGTAACCTTGTATTAATGATGTTTAAATTTGCATTCACCCGAGACAGAGAAATTACTTCATGCAGTGGTCCACAATGAGAATGAAGCCTATGAACAGTATTGTTTATATGCACACCATATTGGATTTACTATGTGAAAGGAACACAGTGGTTTTTGGCCGAATTCAAATAAGCTTAAGACAAAGGACTTTATTTGTGGCAAGGCTGATTTCAAGAAATAGTTGAAGGACACTATCACAGTGAGGTTCAAAAGAGCGGACACAAGGACTAGTTGTCCAGCCATGATCTTATACTTCGTTGATTTAGAGGGCAACCGGTCGGTAAAGAAACTCATAGAAAGTCACAACCATCCGTTGACGGAGGACTGTGACAAGCATCTACTGCGTTCCAGCAGAAAGATGTGTGACGTCAGTGCTGATATCCTCAGGTTAATGACAAAATCAAGGATTATAACAAGTGATGCATTCAGAATCCTCGCTACCGAGGTCGGAGGAGTGGAGAATCTTGATTGCACAAAGAGCAATGTGTATAATTTCATACAAAGAGAGAGAAGAGTTCAAATTGAATTAGGGGAAATATTGAATTAGGGGATGTTAATTCTCTCATACAATTGTTCACTACTCGACAAGTGGAGGATCCAATGTTTGCGTGGGAATTACAAATTGATGAGGTGGGATGTTTGGTGAATTTTTTATGGTGTGATGGGATGTCCAGGATTGATTCAGGATTGATTACGACTGTTTTGGACGACTGTTTTGGGGATGTAATAATATTTGATATAAGTTATAGAATGAATAAATACAATTTATGTTGTGCTCGGATTGTCAGTGTGAATCGCCACTGCAGAATGTTATATTTGGTGTTGGTTTTTTGTCAGATGAAACGATTGAATCATTCAAGTGGTTATTCAAAGCTTTTAACCGTATAATGGATAACAAACATCCAATAACAATATTCACCGACCAGGACCAAGCAATGTCTAAAGTCATTGAAGAGTGTCTTCCGCAAACCAGACATAGATTGTGTCAATGGCACATTTACAAGAAGTTATCTTCAAAAGTCCATTGTGGCGTGGGTAGCAAGAGAGCAATGATTTTTTTTATAAATGCTTGAGCAGATGTGACTCTGAAGAGGAGTTTGAAGAAACTTGGGGTGAAATGATCGAGAATGGAAACCTACACAAGAATGTTTGGTTGGATGAATTGTATAATATCAGGTATAAAGTGGTCAACCACCTTCAACAAAGAAATTTTTGGAATGGGGATCCTATCAACACAAAGAAGTGAGTTCACGAATAAGATTTGGCATGATGTATCCAAGGCAACAAGCACCCTGACCGAATATTTTTTGGGTCTTGAAAATGTCATCAAGGATTGGAGAAGAAATAAAAAGGATGAAGAATTTAAATGCCAGCAATCTACAATTTCTCCCACCGTTAAATGCAGTCTTGTATTGAGACAGGTTGCTACACTTTACACAAGGAAGTTATATTCAATGTTTGAAGCATAGTTTCTTTTCGGTTTGTGTGGGTTTGTTGTGGAGTGCTTCGCTACTATGGATTCAAAATTTCATATCCGAACTCTCGATAATAAGGACAAAGTGAGACCCTGGATTGTTAAATTGGACAGAGGTAATTCTAATATTACCTATAGTTATAAAAAATTTGAAATGATGGGCTTATTATGTGCTCACACTTTAAGGGTTATTCAACACAAAAATATTACAAAAATCTCTGATAAATATATATTACTTCGGTGGACTATTAATGTTAAACTATTAATTTCGGTGGACTATTAATGTTAAAAGGGACATATATAACAGTTATAGTTATGCACTTCATAAGGTGTCAAAAATGTTGCCAAATTCTGCAAGTGGACCTCAATATCTCAATCACATTCATAAATTTGCATACCATATCGGCACCAAAACACGAGGTCATGAACTTGCCGAGAAGCTAGTGTTGGAGGCATTTAATAAACTTAAAATCGATGTCGAAGCCGTTATGAGTGGACGAGACTATCCGAAAAATTCAAAATCAAAGAAGAAGAAGTCACCAAGTAAAGAGCAAAATGTGAATGTTCCCACGAAGATGCAGCCAAAAGGACTATCCAATGCAAGATTAAAGGGTACTGGGAAAAAAATAAGAGATGCAAAAGTAAATGTTACATATAATATTAAGTTCTATTTTTGTTTGATGAAAAATTACTCGCTAACATGTACTATCGTATACAGGAAAGGAGAAAGATAATGTTTCAAGTAATGATAACATTCCAGAATGCGATCCAAATTTATTTTCAATGGATGATCACTTTGTCTATTCGATATAGACTTCTTTCCTGACATTTACGATCATTCTAAAATTTTGTCTATTCGATCTAGACTTCTTTCCTGACATCTACTCATTAATAGTATCAATGTACATGAATTTTCTCAAACACAACAAAGAGGGACATATACGAGCTTAAT